TGTTTATAGTAATATAGCTGGAATATAACCATGTCAAGAATATGATTATGATGATTGTTTAACATTAAAATGATTGACATTTGTATCTGATCGTCAAACAAGTACTTGTCCATATTGGGAGATATTGCTCTGGAACAACATTAATTAAAACAAAATCAGCCATTTTGAATATAAGTATATGTCTATAACATGATGTATAACGAATATATAAAATTTGATAATCAGTCAAAGCATGTCAGAGATATGACTCTAGAAGCCAATCATTAAAAGAAAATGGCCGCCAGTCAGCCATTTTTAATCCAATCCGAAAAATAAAATGATGTGCACCAGGAACCCGTAATGTCTAATGTATGTACTAGGTTTGAACGAAATCCATCCATAAATGCCAGAAATGCTTGATATTTGATGATTTTTTAGCACAAAAATGGCCACCATTCGGCAATTTTGAATAAGATCGTCAAACCAATAAATCTGTATATCTATGACATGATGTATATTGAATAATAAAAATTTGAACATAATCAGTCAAAGCAAGTCAAAGATATGGGTCTAGAAGCCTATTAATTAAAACAAATTGGCCGCCAGTCAGCCATTTTGAATACGATCTGAAAAATAAAATTGTTTGCATCAAGGTCCCATAATGTCTAATGTATATACCAAGTTTGAACAAAACCATATGTAACCAGCCGAGAAATGCTTGATTTTGATGATTTTTAGCACAAAAATGGCCGCCATTCGGCTATCTTGAATCAGATCGTGAAACAAATTGATGTGCATATGTATAATATCATGTATGATGTATGTATGAAGTTTGATTATGATTCGTCCATGCATTTCTAAGATACAGGTCCGGACGCACGCACGGAAGCACGGACGCACGGATGCCAAAAACTTAAGTCCCCGTTTTCGGACTGCGTCTGAACAGGGAATAACAACAAATGCCCAGACGCTTTGATCACGTGGTGTTACAACACACATGGTATAATTATGGAGAATGTCCGGGGCGTACGTACGACACTAATGTATGGTACTTTTTGGTGATTAACGTAACTTCTCCATCAATCACACCGAAGAAGCGTTTATACATGTGGGTAATTCTTCAAACAATACAAATAAATAACTCCCATTTGTATTGTATCTGTGTCGTCGAGGATACAGCTCCATAACGTGCTTTCACTGTGATGGGAAGCACGTAAGTATGAAACGTCTCAGCTGGATACAATCAAATTGGGGATGATAGAACGGTACTCTAGAAGACACAACTGATTTATAGATCTATCCACTCTATAAGCTCTATTATATTATTACACGTATTAATTTCTTGGTACTTTCAATTGAAGTGTTTTTAAATCCCGAATCTCGCTACATGAATTAGAGAAAAAAAAAGTGCCCCTAAATCGCCATGAAACAAACACACACCTGCGGGCACTTTCAACTAAACGTATGGTGTGCCAATTATAATCTAGCCTGGCGAATCAGTTGTTTCCATTTCACCGATATCAAACAGCGTATTGATTGAGCCGGGTCTTTAGGCTAGTCGTCTACCATGTGAACAGTTGCCATGGTAACCGCACGGTGCGCACTGTGTAATGTAGGGGAGTCGGTACAGCGCAATTTATGGGGAAATACAATCGGAAATAACCGGATTCATCAAAAGGTCTATCGTCCGCCTCCAATATTTTATGAATTGCCCTTCAAGTTGGGGGGTCCTTAATTGCAGATTCGATGAATAAATAGGCTTGTATTAGTGGTTCTATTGAATTAATACTACTAATATTGCAGGACACTAGAGCAATGAACTTGTTGCGGTTAGTTCTAAATGGGTGAATTGTCGATCAGTGACTTAATTTATTCATATTACGTAATGACATCTTAAAAACTTCAAACAAAAAATTACCTTTCTGGATACATTGACGCCACAAAAAAATTACATCTGGTCGCTCTCCAGAAGTTTCAGTAGTGTGGCAGCCATGATGTACGTGAACTGACGAGCTCATGAAACCTTGCAACTCAAATGTTTGAGTATAGCCGTTTTGCCTAACGCCATCCTTTTATTTTCAAGAGACTCGAAATCGATAAATTGACAATCTACTAGTAAAGAATAATTGCAGCGTGCTGGATTTATATTCCGAGATAATTCGGTGAAAGCTTCGTTATTATTCTTAACTGGAATACATTTGCCAAAGACTGCTTTGAAACATTTATCGCATACTGCCCACAAAGGCAGTAATTTCGTGCCAGACTGTTTTACCTTTACTGAATAGAAGGCTCGTTAAGTTTGGCTAAAAGTGTGCGTGTTCGATGTAATTACAAAAAAGTCATCGTAGTTGCTTTTTGAATGATTTCCTTTGCAAAATACGTATTAAACTACAAAAGTAAATGGGAACATAGCAAGAGACGTGGTTAAAAACTATGGGCGATTATGTGAGCTACAACGTTTTCACTAACGTGTTTTTCTCTTCATACAATGAAATCACTTTATTTAAGCCATGCTTGGCGGACATCACCGTATCTAACACGCACACATGTACTTCAAATAATTGAGTGATCGAAATGCGTACTTGTATATTTACCAATGCACGGGTGCTCCAGTAAATCGTGTATAAGTTCCAGCGCCTTAACTCCTCAATATAAAGTGTTACCAAGACATGTTTCTGCTATATTTTCTTATTCATTGGCAGATAATCACTTTTTTGATATTGATTGATATAAATGGACTAGTGTATGGCACCAAAACCATAGCCTTTATGTGTATAAGTCTGTGCATTAACGTAATATGCGGGCATCGTACCGCATCAAAACTCAACAGATCAGATCTACTAGTAGCCGAGCCGGGTCCGAATGGAAAGACGTGATCCGCACAAATGCGAGAATATCCAGCTTCAACAAACAAACATCGACTGATATTAGTTGAAGTAGCTTGACATTAGAGTGAATAATGAACCGGATATGAGCAGTGTGAGTTGCTGCGATGTTGAGTAGGTCACACACACACACGCCATCAGTCAGACTGCTCCGTTGTAGTACGAACAATCCGCTATGTACCTGAATCGTTGTATTCATATCTTAATTGGTGATACTTTATATATCGCTTTGTGTTACAATTAAATATACTTGAATGCTCGGTTTGTATTTAGCACGTCTTCGTGAATGTACATGGAATTACAGTGTCGTCAGCGATGTAGTTAAATATATCGTTTCTGATTATGTTGTGCCCGTTTTTTATCACTCCTCGATAAAACGAGGCACTGATCCACATGTACAAAATACTAATTCAGTATGGCGATTACTACCGCCATACTAATTCAGTATGGCGATTACTACCGCATTAGTGCATTTAAAGAACAGAAATTAAACGAGTTTGGCCTTTTTCGGTTTGTTACATGTTCGTGATTGACTCGGTAACATCATGGACGTTAATTACGTTACAAATAATAATAAATTGTGTTGCAACAACTGTTCAATTAGTATTTGGAAGTGAAGCTATCGCAGCAACACGTTTTTCATTGCCTGACTTTTGACCTAAGTGAATAAGTAAACGAATGAGGCCATCCATCGACACTCGCGTGTTACGTCTACGTTGTGGGTTATTTTTAAACTAGTAGGTTTTCACGGCTGCATCCTCGGGCCCACATGCGTTTTGAATTACCTTGCGTGTGGATCGTATTTAACGCGTTACGCCGCGATTGATCATTCAAGCCATCGTCACGGTGATCATTACATATCCCAGACGATGACGGATCAACAGAATAATTCAAGGTTCCTGCCAGGGCGACAATCATTCACAGCGAATAAGAATAACGTTTATATGAAAAAATAAATATAGGTAATCTTTTATCGCTGGAACGAGATTATGGTCAGTGGATCGGTAACTCAAAGAACTGTCTGTTGTAGTTGGGTTTTTTTTTAAATACCATCTGCTGCTTTCATATTGGCATTTGTTGCCATAGAAACGTATTCCTGGTCGATTTATTGATCGCATCTGAAGATGACATTTTGGAAAGAAAACGGTATTCGACTTGCTTAAATTTGATTGAAAGTACTGATACTTGTGAGTGATGAAGTGCAATGCGATCATCCTCATAAATCAACCACATTGTCTGAAAGGAATTCGCTAGAAATAATTTAAAAGTACATTTGATATCATTGCTTCGTAGATGAAAATGATTACCAGCAATTGTACCACTAGTGAAACTTACCAAGGCTATAATTGGAGATCAGTCAGTGAACCAGCGAGAAATGTACAGGGCATATCATACTAGTCATTTAAATCAGTATTAAAACACACCCCAGACAGGAGAGATCATAACCCCAGTAATATTAAAGCAGCGAATCGGACACAGGTCAGACAACAAATTCGAATTTATATTGAAATTGAAAACATATTTTCTCATGAAATATGTATTGTTGATGTCTGTTTTTATTATTATTAGTCGCCTGCACGACAAAATAAGCAAAATAATCAACATATTTTAAAACGAGTGTGCGTCATAAGCACTATAAACGCATTTACATTTGGGTAGACAAGTAACACATCTCAAGGGCGGTGTTCGTCGCCACCTAGGTGCGTTCGTATTTTTGTGGCAATAAACAACGTCTTTTGACTGACATGCCGTTGTGATGGCACGCGTATTTTAGGCCTCATATCGAACGCATGCAGTCGGGTGACGGCGGCCAGTCGTCATGTAAACTGTCCAGGTGACGGTAGATCGCAGTATGTTATGCTACCGTTACAGATTCTGACGGTAAATACGAACAGCGGAATAAACGAGGCCCCGCAGTGGATGGCTGTTCAGTAAAAACAAGACAGGAATATTGAGCACGCGATTACCCTCGTAGTTAAATTTCGCCAAAGGCATGTCAAAAATGAGACACTATACACGAAAACCGAACTAGAGATCGAGTCGTGTATGTGTTTATACAACACACGCACCACTAGTTCAAAGTATGGGCGGGAAAACGAAACTAGGCAGCAAGCAATATAATACTAGCATACTTACCAAGAAATGAAATTGTGGGTTCTACACGAATACTAAATCCAATGCGTGACAGAATCGGCTGTCTGTGTTCACGCCAATGTCAGCGCAGGTAGTAATTCGTCGCTGATGTGAGCAGCAACAACTCTCTCTTGAATGAGGTCCACATTTGCATAAAGATATCAGCTAGAGCAAATATACAAGCTGTTAACATGCCGTGGCGGACACGTAGCTAATGAAACCACGCATGCGCCAATGAAGCGTATTTATTGTCGGTTTGATATTTCACAGACATGCGCACATTGTAGCAGCCTGTCGTGTCGGTATATGCACAGTCCCTTGAGGGACTGTGGTATATGGTACTGTATGTATACATTTCCTAGAGCCGTACCGTCAGTGTGCCCTAAGTACCACCGTAGTCGCGAATATATACCCCAAAACAAGTCGTTTATTAAAGTTACTCATATAATAATGATATAGTCATGATAATGGATGTGACCGCTCGCCACTTTCAATCCGATTGGCTGACGTAAATTCAAACCCACATATTTTAGAATAGGTTAAAAATAATTTAATTTATTATGGGAACCTATTTATATTTTTTGTTTTCCGAAAATGGCACGATTGCAATAATGCCCTAGTTCATAAAATAGCTCATTAATTCTCCCGCATGTATTATCCTCCAGAAGAACATGGCCGAGTTTGTGGTCCAGGAATCTAGTATTTGCCGTGCGTTGAAAGAAACCGATATAGGTCGCAATATTATAATGACAGCGATGAAATGTACAGTTGGACGCTCGCACTAGTCAAGGGCCTATGAGGACGCAATGTGTCACAATTCACGCGTAAACACTCCGATTACGTCGCATACATAAACGAGTCAAGCCGAGTCCTGTACTGGCATGCATTAATTAATGTCAGTTTGGAACGTTGTAGTACAATGCGTACAGTAAACAACGTCAAACATGTTTTTTTTTTATATAGAGATATCTTTATTTGCAGAGTCATATGGTTATGAGTACATCACTCCTATTTCCATGTAAGCTGACGTGACCTTTATCGAGGACAATGGCATATACTAAATGAGACTCAACATCACTGGCTCAGCAGGCATTCACAAGAGATTTATAATTCACGTTATCACGTCATTTCAGTGAATCGACGAAAGGACCTTGATAAAGCACTTTGTGTGACTGCTGATCACGACTACTGTACACCAATGACATACAGTTTAGCTGACTGTTTCATTCATCTCCATCAATATTCGTCAAACGGACCGAAGGCCCGTGCTAGCACGTGGCAGCAATGAATTAAAACCGTTCCTTGTATCTTCGACGAATATTTATTAGTGGTCCGAGCTTGTTTGAATTGTAAAATATTTATTTGGCAATCTTGCGAACAATTGAAAGATTGAATATACTTCATTAATAATTTCATACTTCTATACCTCCCGAACACTGGATAGTTTGAATGTCAAATGTCGTGTGAATTGGGAATTGTCACAATGGGAATGTTTTCGCGCCAAAAATATCTGGCAATTTTGTTTACAAATTTTCAGGTTTTTTTTTGTTTATTTTTTCAATATCATTTTGGCCTGCTATAAATTCTTCTATGTAATGTTGACACATATGAAACGATTCCTTGTGTGGCGATACAATTTACAGTGGCAGTGAAAAAGCTAACTACCGTTTACTAAAGATAAGAAAGCTACTAACAACTACTAAGTTACGCAGCAAATTGTGTAAGGCTACTCTTGGTGTTTGCTTTTCGTAAATATTCGGTGTTTTTGTTCTGTTTTGTGCCAATAGGTGTCCAATATGTCCAGATTTGCATCGGCTGTCGGTTTAAAATGGCCGCCAGTTCGACATTCCCATAATGGTTAGCCTCAGAGACGACCAATGAGGACATTAAATATTGTTTGTTTTGTGGCCGTTATATAAGTCTTCGCAATTGGTGACTGGTTGGGAAGAACCAGTCGTTCGCACCCGAAGATAAAATTCAGAAGTTATTCGATACGCATGCGTGTGTCTCTAATAACAAAACAACCCCACTTCTGAACAATTCGACACAGCAGGTCGTGAGATATAGAGTGCTAATCAGTCAATGACATTTTGTTATCAGACTTTCGCAAGCTGGTCGGCAAAAATGTAAACACATGACGTCACATTGTGACGGTCTATTAACTCCACCATACGTGAATGCTACGTCACATTATGATTTGAATAGAATTCCAATATGTGTAGATTTCCATCGGTTACCAAATAAAAATGGAGCGTATGTCACTATTTTTCACCAAACATTGTCCGCAAACCAAAACAACATCTTTAATAGTTTCGGCATCTCGCCCACACAAACAAACCTCATTTAGGTCAAAACTTGCAACGTAACATCGGTGTTAAACTATTCCATATCAATTCAGGCGGCTACTGGAGAACTATAGTACATATGATTATGATACTGATAATAGCTCCACGAGCGTTCATTCATTCAGTTTCTGACGCGTACGATCAAATACACATTATTATAGATACCTCAATTTCATCTCTGCTCTCATCCGTACTATTTATCTATTTCAATTAACGGAAAGCCAGCGAACCGTGCACTATCAATTTTCAATCGCTACAGTGGAGACACGTCAGTGGTAATGCAATGTATCGGCCGCTTCCGAGTAGTTCGGTCAGTTAATCGTGGTCACGTGACAGACGATTGTTAGTATGCTAATATAATGCGTAAAGATTCGTCATCAATAGACTAATATGTTTTCCACATTTTAATATAATGGGAGATAGTACATTGGCTCAATGACGTCATGCGTCAATATTGTACAGTGCAATTAAAAAATCACAATGAATTGCAGCGTCCTAAACTGTATCATTGATCGTATAATGCCAGATAGTGTCGACGCCACAGTGTAGCCTATAATAAACCGTTATTATAAACACAATATGTGAATTAAACATAAATTGAAATAATATAAAAACAATAAAATGAGCGTGTTATTTAATAATACGCACTGTTATCGCCGAATTATGGACTATATCGTACGATCATTGAGTGACGTAGAGGGACGCCACGTAGCAACACGCAGACGACATTTAGGCAGAACACTAAACATTGTTTTATAGATGCCAGGAAGATAACACATATGATATGAGTTACATTTATGTTAGAACATTGATGAAGATCATTATGTAAAAAGCGCCACACGTCGTTCCTCGACTGAGAATGACTATTTTTTTTTTCTTTTATCAGACGTTATATAACCCCAAGCACACTCGTTGTGAAATGTATTGCTGGTTGGTGCCGTAGAATCAATCTATTACATATCGTACTCAGTTACACTTAATAATGAAAACAAAACTTCCTATCTTATAATCAGTATATTGACATTAAAATGTCGGATTATAACATAATAACACAATTTATATAGTCCCTGACAGTCGGTATGTTCGCTCCAGGTCTTATAAGAGTTATATAACAGTATATTCCAGCGACAGGTGATATTAACCGATGGGTGAGTTCAATGTATTTACGGGAAATTATGGAAACTGAATATATGTTTATATTCACGACTTTGGGGTTGTTTTCATGATCAGTAAGTATGGATACCAAAGTTATGTACCTTGAACCGCCATGTCGTTATAGTGACGACATTGCATTATAGTCAAAATGACGTCTTATATTGAATAATAAAGACGTTAGGGGACAGCCCTCGTCCCATTCGCCATTGGGTAATATAATTTTTCAAGCGTTCATACCCTGAAGTGACCAAGCGATTACATTTTTCGAAGAGTTCGTGGTATTTCAAGTACCGGTGTGATACGTAGAAAATATGTGATGATAACACAGCAGATATCATTTATCTGCTTCGCGCTAAAAGCTCATCAAATGAAAATTACTTCATGAGTTTATTAAATCACAGAAGAGTCACGGTCGCGAATTGGATATCCTGTTTGTCTTTTTCGATGCTTTTTAAAAAGAAGAACAAAACACAAGAAACGCAATCTGTCGGCTCGTATTCAATAAACTATATTATACGGCTGCCCCAGTTGAATAAATGGACGCCAATCACCGAGCAATACATTTATTTTTGAAGGTGTTATTAAATGAATGGATATAAGAGCACGATTACCCATCAAAAGAGAAATCATGACTACTACACAAGGTGATACGATCACGTGAAGGTTTGGAAAATTAAAAATGGTGCCTTGTGTATTATAACATACACACATGTTTGCTGTTATCTGAAACTATCAGAAATATTCGTAATGTTATAATTCCTAAAACCTTCCTGGAGGCTTTGTGTACTTGTCAGCCATGATGCAGTAGATGTACATAATTCAATTAGCTGTCTACGAACTAGGGTTGGTAAACACGATGGATTTGGCGCCGCACACTGACTAGAATGTCACGTGACCATGAAACCCGCAAATAGAATATTGTATGTATTCAGTAATAGTGTCACATAGTCTCACGATTCAAATCATTGGATGAATATCAATCCGTGACAACCGCCGTGATCCGGATTGCAATATCGCTAGGCAGATGATTGGAGCTACCCAAGCTGGTCAAATTAAACATACAGAACCATGTTTGCAAAATGAAATTCTATTCCCTGCGTGTATTGCACTGTACCGTGATGCGAGTGAATTTTATTATTATTAGACGTGGCCGATTTTGCTAGAGGTATTCTGCTTTGCTATTGTAGGCGCTGTTGACATGATTGTTCTGAATGTCTTCAACTATATGTTATTCACATAAGTTACTTATTCAACTAGATATGCTAGGTTTCATTTTTGTGTTCATTTCTTCTGATAATTTGCGTCTGGAGTGACCTTTGAACCAAATAGGAAAGTGCACTGTCTCGATAATTGTACTAAATGCAAATGCTCTATTTGCTATTACCTCAATAATGTTTGTTGTCAACGCGTGTTATTTTAACTACTAATTCCCGTTGCTTGGCGGGAGTAGCTACGAGAGATCATCGTGGCTTCAGTAAATTCGAGCCGTGGGCAAAAAAATCACGTGATCAATATGTGTATTTTATTAATGGACCGTAGCTAACTACGTGCATTTCACAGTGATGTCTACGCCAGATCGGACAGGGATGTTTTGCTCATTTTTTATGTATCATAACGGGCTTTGACCAATCTTGTCTCACGTTATACTGCTAATCTAC